TTATTAATTATTATTTTTTATTGGTTTTTCAGTTTAGTTATACTTAAAGTTCAGGGTAATCAAATGTTAAAAACATAATGTTAAAAAAAAAATTCTCCAATAAATTGATGTTTTAAAAGTAAACATTTTAATAATCGTGATATCAAATATTGACCCAAATAATCGAGATTATGATTTTTGCCATAATCGAGCAGCCCTAGAAGTAACACATTTTTTGTGTGAAACCGCTCAATGAACTACATCTCCCGTCTTGCACCACACACCAAGATGGCCGTCACATTGGCACATTTCACTTCTTTCTTTCAGAATGAGGGGGAAAGTGTTAAAAGAGGTGAAAATCACTACAAGTCTGGGCATGTTGAGAGCTGTATATACACAAAAGGGGAGTCAGTCGGTTCCGTAAGAGCCAGCATGCGGGACCGGGATTCTGGGATTTGTAGTCTTTCTAGTTGCGTATTTTTCATAGTCTTATATTTCAACAGTTTTACGACAAACTGTGACTTTTTGACATGGATATTATTATTTAAGATTGACAAACATCATGTGTGTATTTTTTGGCACAATTAAAACGGGATAGAAAGATAATCTTACTCTCCCCATTGACTTCAATACATAATCTTTCCGAAATATGGTCCCATGGGTCGGAAGTAGATGGGCGGGACTTCGCATCTCTATAACAACGGCTTTAACAACTTATTTAAAGTCAAACAGATGACACTTCAGTGTCTGTTTAAACAAACATCACAATGGAAAAATGGTGGTAGCAAATCATTTTACGTCATATCAAAAAGCCAGAAGTGACGATGGGTTTTGTTTTCAAACAACATTTTGAAGTTTTAAAAGTGGAATTTTCTAAATGAAATAGATCACCCTTCATTGTGAGTGCTTTAGCGACGTGTCAGGATATTGACGGACTTAAGTCCAACAATTCAGAAATCATGTCATAAACAAGTAAAAAACTAAAAAACTTTGATTTGTCTTACTAGTTGTCATGTATTTCCGTATAACAACACCGCACGTTTATTAGTTTTATCCCCCCCCAAAAAAGTAAATACTATTTTAAAATTGTGTTGAATCCTGATTCATCATAGATTATTACTGTGATTAAAGTGAAAATGAATTATCGTTTGACAGCACTAATTTCTTTATTTGGAGTTGAAATATAAAACACTATGTAGATAGCAATATATGATGCAAATGTAAAAGCAGTCATTCCACTTTGCAAACTTCTATTCTGTCTCTACAACAATCAATCAATCCACTGTTTGAGCAGAGATAACCAGATCTAAATATAGCTAACCCATTGCAAACCCTCAGCCCAAAGCGACCCCTGCCCTGGTAATTAGCCAAGTGCTCCTCTCAGTAAACACAGGAACCATCCATTTCACTTCATCCTTTTCCTATTGTACGTGAGGATGAAGCCAGGTCAGTGTGCCACAGAGCTGTCATCATGTCCGACAAATGTTGGCAATAAGACAGGAGTTTTGTTTACACAGGTTACTCAAGTGAGAGCTGGTGCTGAATCCGTTCAGATATTTCAAACTTAGAGGGGGCTGTGTGTACACCCACCTTAACTTCCTTTCACGGAGCTATATTTTACAAATACACAGCTTTCTGTCATTATCTGACCAAGTTTCTTACAGCCCTTTGTTTCTGTTTAGTAAAGTGGAGGCGGCTTCAGAAACAAAAAGGACTAACTGGTTTTTCACTCCACTAAATCACAGCCTTTGAGAGACAATGCTTCGGCTTCACACGACAAATAGGAGCTGTCAGAAATAATATTTGTTTGCAACAGTTTGGCCTAAAATACTCAATTATAACACTACATTTAGTTTCGCTGATGATTTAATCAAAATAGACTTGGAGTTAGAGCAATGAACCAGAAGGAAACACATTTTGAAGAGATTAGCTATTCATCTTAGAAAAATTAAAACCTTTTCTTTTTTGAAATACTTGTTTTTTTAAGTTGCCTTTGCAATTCCTCCTCAGAAGAGTACGTGTAGTCATCCATGTCCCCATGTAACTAATGATAGTACCAAGTCTGAAAACTCTTGTCATATCTGGAAATCTGACTGTTAAATATTTCTCTTGGAACAAATACAATTGATCAAATTCAGCTTAATTAACCCAACTTTTAAAAGAACAAGCATTGCCTAAAACACTAATAACAACTGTTTCTGCTGCACCATATTTTGGTTATCATTTTTAAATGTGCCTATCTTTAGATTATGTTTGAGAATGAATGTTGTCCTTTAGATTTTTTCCGTTTCAATCTTGCAAATGGAGATGAGTGCCAAGTGCCTTAACTCAAAGATCTAGCCGTTTCTCAATTTGTGGCCATTTACAGTTTTAGTCTGACAGGAAGTTCTACAACCCCAATCTCAGTGTGATGTCACGCCGCGGTCCAATCAATGACTTGTTCAACACTTCAATCAAATTAAAGCTTAAATGATATTCAGACGATGCATAAGTGGCAGCAGGTAAATATATTTTATATATATATATATCTTTCTCAGCTAGTGTTTAAGAATATTCCATCAGGGTCTTTTCAATACAGAGACCTGATACTGCGAAACAGTGAGAACATTGACATATCTTAATAATTGTGCTCTTTTGTTTCTGTTAGGGTAACAAAGTATTTTGGAATCTCAGCTAAATTCCTTAGGTGTAATGGCCCATTTCAGAACCGTATACAGTATATTTGAGTAAGGGGGTTACTATTATGATTATTGATGTGTTTATAAAAGCTGGTAAATGTAGAGCAAATTTGAATAACTGTATATACTGCTGCTGGATATCTTAGCCTATACATATATGTCAAAGTTCATTTAATACTTAATTTATATTAGTATTTTGTATTGTAATATCTAAATCTAAAATGAACTAGTAACATACAGCTAAATAAATGAAGTGGAGTAAAAAGTACAATATTGGCTTCTAAAATGTGGTGGAGTAGAAGTATAGAGTACCATAACCTGTGAATACTCTTGTAAAGTATCTCAAAATTGTAAGTCAGCTCTTGAGTAAATGTACTTTGTTACTATCCACCACTGACAAGGCTTGTGTACACAATCACTGATTGAACGCTACATCAAACCTAGACAAAGTATAGTAAGAGCTTCCTGCATAAACAATGCCTTTGAGTAGTATGTCATGGTAGATTATCAGTGGTGGAATGTAACTAAGTACATGTACTCAAGTACAATTGTGAGGTCCTTATACTTCACTTGAGTATTTTCATGTTATCCTAGTGTGTACTTTTACTTACTACATTTTGGATGCTATTTTGCACTTTTTTACTCCACCTTTTTTGTATTAGTCAAATGTAGTTACTAGCTACTTTTCAGGTATGGATATATAAATCAGAATATAAATCAACCAACAAATCAATATTATTAAAGGTTAAGCTACCGAGCAGTGTATCAAGTAATTTAAATAATCCCAACCTTTACCAAGTGCAATATTGACATTTATGCAATAATAATTATAATACAAACATGTTATATTGTTAAATCTGATATGGGCCATATTATGTATTTTTACAATGAAGAATTGCTACTATAAAGATCTGAGTACTTCCTATACCTCTGTTGATAACGTTGCATCATAATGCCACTCATCTTAATTGTTCTTAATGCAATGAGAGGGTGTTAACTCCTAACAGTGGGCAGCACCTAGGGATGTAACATGCTTTGACTCAGCAGGTTGCAGGCAGTTATATCAGGTGTTGCCCAATCCATGCTTGCTGGTTACCTTGCTAGCTAATGAACAGCAGAGGACAACAGCATTTTCTCCTTTTTGCACTGCTAATTGTTAGCTCATGTGTGCACACCACGTAGGCACCGTCTCGAGGAATGTGTCCCCTCAACAACAACGTGACCAGTGTTTGTTTTACGGTGTCATCTTGAAGGGCTTAGCTAAAGTCTTTAGCATGTTAGCATTGACAGAGGAGGACACTCTTACCGTGACGACATGAACCTCTTTTGCTGAAAGCCGCCGGACAGCCCGCATGCTCGGCATTGAACCCGCGGTCTGAACGCCTCGGACCCGCTGCTGCTGTCCACCACACTCAGTATCCTGTGTGCGTGTTTCTTGTTGTATTTACTGACAGTACTCAGCAAGCCTCGGCGTAATGCGCAGGCCGCCATGTTTCTAGACCTAGCACGCTCAACACACACGCATTTACATCAGGTTACATGCTGCATTCAGGGGACGTCTAAAGAGTCGTATTTAGGACAATTATAAGCTTCAGATACACATGCATTTCTTTGTCCTTTTTTAACAGACAGTATTTTGGTGTTATCATTACATGCTTGTTACAAAAAGAGACTTTCTTGTTGCAGTCAAAGTATGATATTTGGAAAAGCATATTGTTTCAATTAGGAAATAGAGGTTATTTCATTAATAAATTACGTTAAATAATGACGTTTAACAATTCCTTTAACATTTTGTATCGAATATCCTTCAAAATATTGATATTTAATCACTATAATACATAAACGTAAACATATTATTAATCAAATGTAATTCTGTGAATTAGAATAAGTTATATTAAGTCACTTTATTGTTTGGTATGATGTTTGACACCATTTGAAAGATAAAACTAGGCAAATAATCCAAATCCACGTTAAAAACATGATGGTACTGAAGGTGATGAGATTGAAACGATTGTTGTCGTTTTTTTTCTAAGGTTAATTTTGTGGGAAATTCCACATCCATAGGAATAGACTGATTGAATCCAAACCAAGCGTTGTGTATTTTTTACTAAGAGCTGTGCATGGTAAAAATACAAAAATAAACATTTAGCAAGAAGGCGATAAAAGCATATTTTTATTTTTCAAATAATTGCCCATCAGAAACATAAGGGACGTCACGGTTTTGGCATGACGAGTTTGTGAGCAGACCGTGAAGGCACCTCTGAGAGGATTTCAGACGTTTCAGACGTAGTGCAGCAAGAAACATTAGAGTTTGATAATGGAATAAAACATTATTTTGTCAAAAAACATAAGATACATTTGAAAGTTAACAAAGACTTTAAATGGAATTTGACATATTGAAACAAAATACGCAATGCAACGGTTCTTTTTTCTTTACCCATGAGTTGGTCACATGATCGAATGATCATCATGTCACAAGGGAAACAACATGGCTGCTTACTTGTGTTTTATATTTATCTCTCGCTAGTGGTATTAGCTGATAAACGCCGAACTTATTTGTATAATAATTTATACAGTTAACGATAGTATTGACGTCCTTTGAATTAGGTATATGTTCACTGTGAAGTAGCTTGACAAAATATATATTTCTCTTGACAGTTGCGAAGCTTGACAGCAGTCTTCCAGTCACAGTCAGGTGGATTTAGCCATGGCTTCGTCGTTTGTGGTCGGGGATTCATTCAGAAATAAGGTGGCGGAATTATTAGAGAAGACTGACTCGTGTCTGCCGCAGAGATTGATGGAAGAACTGGAGGAGACACTTGGAAAAACAGAACCCACAACCCTGTCCTTCAGTACAGCCAGAACACTGAAGAAGTACCTCCATGACAATGGTACAGTTCTGTAATGTACTAACGCTAATGATACTGTTTCCTTAAAAGACATATGTGGAGTATGTACCCTTTACATTAAAGGTATTTTAGTCCTTTATATATTTATCCCTATATATAGTGTAACTGTAAGGCAATAATAGTTATCTATGAGATTCTATGTATTTCTAAATTACCCTTGTAGAGGTACTTTTTGGGCATTTTGTTTTTATCTGTGTATATATATATATATATATATATATATATAATTTACTTATGTACCTATTTATCTTTTCGAATTTTGAAGTTTAATTCCATAACAAACTGGATAGCCAAAACACAGAGACTCAGAGCCTTGGTGACACAAAGTTCCCCTTGAAATCCATCAAAAATAAATGTTCTTGCTAAGCTAAAAAAAAAAATCGAAAAACACAATGTGTCTTTATAAACTGTAAACAAACTACCACTCAAAAGGTTAAAATAAAAAAAAATCAATTAATATTTCGTATTTATTATGAAGAGTCAAGACTGATCAATCAATCAATCAATCAATGTTTATTTATATAGCCCAATATCACAAATGTTACATTTGTCTCAGTGGACTTCACAGTTTGTACAGAATATCAGTATGACAACACGGCACCCTCTGTCCTTAGACCCTCACATCGTACAAGGAAACACTTCCAGAGAAAACCCACAGTTTAAAGGAGAGCATGGGAGAAACCTCAGGGAGAGCAACAGAGGAGGGATCCCTCTCCCAGGACGGAAAGACGTGCAATAGATGCCGTGTGTAAATGATGCCGTGTGTAAATGATGGTTAAATACTTAAACTCTGTGAAAGTAAAGTATAATTTGATGGCGGATTTTTTACGAACTTAATATGAACTGTTGGTAATGTAAATATAAAGCTTTCACTGTATTATTTCATTTATCAACATCCCAAGATAAAGTCACAATTCATGTGTGATTAATATTAAAGACATAACTCCTGTCTTGAAGTTTTAGCAAAGCAATGCTAAAGAGTGCTGACACGATATAAAATAGTCTACTTATGTTTGACTTTTTTCTTGCAGGGCATCCCTTCTACCTGCATGAGGTTTTGGAGGAAAGCTCGCTGCACCTGCCTGAGATTGTGAAGCCTCCCAGAGTAAGTGAAACCATGGATACGCCCAATATACAGGCACTATATATGTCTGTTAAATCTCTAACATGTCCATTAGTGTTTGTTGCAATCACAGCATGCAGGAAACAATGCAACAAGCTAACAAGTTAAAATACCATTCACTTAAGCTCCATTGTGATCAAATAAACAGTTTAGTGTCTTTTGAGCCCACAGCTGCATCCTATCCCTATACAAATTTAAGTGCAGTATTTTCCTTTCCAAGTATGCTCATAAACTTCAAGATGTTCCAAACAATTGAAATAAAATTGTGACTTTTTTCCCTCAGAACCCAGTTCTCGTCGCACGTCTTGAGAGGATCAAAGCCAAGCTGGCCAATGAGGAATACAACAGAATCACACGAAATGTCAACACTCAGGTAACTTTATCCTATACAGTATACAATAACATTACAAATATAAAAAAGGCAAGATATAATTCATGCTATCAGACTGTATTACAGAAACACATCTAAATATTATAATTTATTCAACATATTATTCTTTCATTGAGTGAGACTTAATGCAGCCTTGAAGGTCCCATGTCATGCTTTCCCGGTTATTATCCGTCCCCTTGTGTGTTATGAAGGTTTTTATGCATGTAAACGGTCAGCGGCGAAACTGCGACCCCTAATTTCCACCGGGTCCGTCTGCTCCGTGTTACCGTGCGACGGCCGTGTTACGGCTGGGCCGCGGCATTCGCAAAGATCGCGGCCACTCTAGTCAATGGGTGCCATTCCACCACACGCGGTGCGTTACGGCTCAGAAGCATCCCAGAAGCGTCTCGGCGCTGGGCATCTCTAAAATTAGGATGAATCCTATTTTTGACGCGACGCAGCCGTAAGGCAGGAAGTGGAACGTTCAGAGCATATATAGCATATATATATACACACACACACACAAACTAATTTTGGTAGGAGGAGAAATGCTAGCGTTCTCCTTCGGTTTACAGGCACTGTGTAAATTATATATATAGAATAATTATGATGATTGCTGCATTTTCTTTACCACTAAAATACAGCAACACATCTTTGATTCATGTCGTTTATAACTGGAATATTATTATTATTATTATTAACTTTGTCTGTACAAAGTAGCCTGCTAGTGGAGCCTCGCAGATGGGGGGGTGATGCAGCCCCCTCAGCACCCCCCCTTCCCGCGTCCATGGCTGAGTTCAGGCTGATTTTCGCGAGAACTCGTTGTCTCGCAGAACCCACGCAGCAACCAGGAAACAACACCAGTAATAGAGGTCACACTGTCCCCTCCTCACAGCAGCGAGTGGCGCAACGTCCCGCCAACACGGCACCCAGACCCCACGCAGAATTCTCATCTGTTTGTCATTACTGGTGTCATTTTCTGGTTGCTAACGCCATTGTAACACATAATCACTGATGTTCCGCTGTAACGGTGGTGGACTCATCAGAACAGAGTGGGCGAGCTGACCAATCAGAGCAGGGGGGGGGGGGGCAGGAGCTCCAACAAGCTCCAACAAGCCGTGTCGGACAGAGTGAATACTCATGCTATACAGAGATGCTGTATGGGAAACCAATGTGAGTTTGGAAAATTACACAATATAAATCTATTCTAGTAGACCTCAACTATGGAATTATGATCAGTAGAAATGGCCATGACATGGGACCTTTTAAAACCGACAGCATTTTACTATACGCGGAGAAAATACGATGCATTGATGATAATATTATGTGATACTTGATAAAAAATAAATATATTGTATTTCAGAGGACTACATTGGTATTATGGTTAATATTTTACCTTGTGATAAATATCTTTTTTTTTGTCTTCAGGAAATCGACCGCAATGGATCGCTAGCAGATTTTGGACGGGAAAGTGAGTGTGATACACATTTGCCATCGCTTATTATAGGATCCTAATTCTAGAAATCAGAGGCAGAATTATATATTTGAAAATATAATGTATGTGTTTCATATTGTATATGTTTGGGGGATGTAAAAAGGTATCTGGTTAATATCCCAGATGAGCCCCCATTTGAAACTAAACGAAGATAAATACTAGGTTTGGATGCCGAACCACCAGCAGTCCCTCCATTATATTAGATGCCTCTCCCTTCTTCTGCTGGCACCGTAGCTTTTAAGCACTTCCTTCCCATCGTTGAAGCAATGCAGCACCATGCGCAAAGCTACTGGAAGGAAGCAGGCCCCGGGAGCACATAAAGCCATGAAAGTATTACATTGAAAACTAGAAAAATATGTCCAGTACAGTGCAGATCTTCCCCTGCCAATCATAAAAAAGTAGAGTTTCACTAGACTCTCCCTCCTCACTCCCTTACAGTCGTAATGCTGGTGAAGAAAACAGAAACGTGTATTTATTTATTGCCTAATCGCCTTACTAGTGTATTATAACACAGTGGGTATGGAACATGGCCAAACTGTGTCCTTAAACTGAATAGGTAAGGTTTAGGGCATAAGATAGCGAATTGACGAAGATGCCTTTTGCTTAACCTGCCAGTTAAGAGGAGTCAACCAGTCAACCTGTGAATCATCGCAACAACAACATCAAATTCCTTGAACATACAGTTATCAATGGGCACAATAAATATTAGGCTAATGGCCTAGCAAGTAGTTTGCGAGATTAGCTGCAGTCAGGCGGATAATCACATACACATAACCGAGGATTACTATTGCAACAACACGTCATCAGTAGGGTAAAACGTACCTGTCTCATGACGGTTCAAACACGACCCACGTTCCCTATTAGCGGGTGAACAATCCAAAGCTTGGTGAATCTGCTTCACAACGATAGGAAGAGTGATGTCGCTATGAACGATGATCCCCTCCGGCCTTAGGAACTTCCTCTGAACTTGTGTTTGTTTTTTTTCTCCTCCAGTGCGATCAGTCAAAGCAGTGGTGGTGACAATATTCAACTTCCTGGTCACAGTGGTTGCTGCTTTTGCCTGTTCATATATGGGGAGTCAGTACCTGTTCACTGACACTGCAGCGGTAAGAGTACATTTCATTTTAAATCTGTACTATACATGTAATTGGCTCTTAAGTTAACGTAGCTACATGCCGTGCTGTTCATCTCGGCAGCTATGCACAGGCTTTTCTTTTTTAAAACCTATTGTCCCGGCTTCCTTCCTTTTTGTTTCCTTAAGCAACACTTTCAAACAGACATTTATAACGTATTTTCTTTATTAGTTTTACTCACAGTTGTGAGGACTTCTTGAGCTTCTGATGATGTGTTGATTTTGTATGACTTGTGGTTAGTTCAAAAATCAAACTAATCAAGACAAAAGATGCAAAACTCAGATACAATGATTAAAAAAACGTTCTATTATGTTGTATCTAATATGTTGTTAGTTACAAAGTCAGATTTCAAGTTAAAACCGTCTCCACGGCATCTCCCACAAAGGTTGCACATATAGAGTGGGGCAAAAAAGTATTTAGTCAGCCACCAATTGTGCAAGTTCTGCCACTTAAAAAGAGGAGAGAGGCCTGTAATTTTCATCCTAGGTATACCTCAACTATGAGAGACAAAATAAGAATAAAAAATCCAGACAATCACATTGCCTGATTTTTAAAGAATTTATTTGGAAATTATGGTGGAAAATAAGTATTTGGTCATCGAATCATATGCCAGTACAAGCTCTAGCCAATCAAACCGCTGCTTGTGTGTCAGGGGCGGGAGGTTCATGTGATTGGTTGTTGGTCGAGTTTCAGACACGCCCGCCGGCAAGCGTCAACGCACGCCGCTGTGTGGACGGGCCGTTACACACTACGCCGCCAGGGACTCAAATCCTGCAGTGCCAGACGTGTCCCCCTGCTTAAGCCAGTACATGTCCAGGCCCGTCTGAAGTTTGCTAGAGAGCATTTAGATGATCCAGAAGAGGATTGGGAGGCCTGGACATGTACTGGCTTAAGCAGGGGGACACGTCTGGCACTGCAGGNATATAGCAGCTAGCGTGGAAGCTAGCGTGGACGTTAGCCCGACTCGGAGTACAAGGACCCACACCCAATTCGCGTTGATCAGTGGCCTATGCAACAGAGAGATTTTATTTTTCATCAGGATATTGGAAGAATAGGAGGGATTGAGGTCAATCACTGGCACTTTTTTTATTTTATTTTTAAATGGTACACTTTATGTTGAACTATTTATTACGTTGTTGGTGCAACTGGCACTTTATGTTGAACTGTTTATTGTTTTGGCCAAGGTTATTGAGAGAGTTGGACTGAAATTGATTAGATTTTTTAAATCAACTGTTGGTAAATCAACAAAGTCTGTTATGGCCTCTGAAGCAACAGAGAGATGTTTTCTAATAGTCAGGGTTTNTGTACAGATCAGTCCGATAAAGTCATGCCAAAACAGCGACATTTTACGCGATAAATACGGGTTTAAATATCAGCATTTGCCACGGAAGGCGAGTGGCAGCTACCGTAAACCTTCTCTTAACTCTTAACTTGTGGCATTTACTTGCCATGGCAAGTTGTGGCATATGCTTGCCACGGCAAGTTGTGGCATATATAAGTTGTGGCATATACTTGCCACGGCAAGTTGTGGCATCTGTGGCATATACTTGCCACAGATACCACATCTGTGGCATATACTTGCCACAGATACCACGGAGTAGCGGCCTCCGTGGCAGATGCCGGAAGTACTTGCCACTGCCCGCAGATGCCACGAAATGCGCTTGCTGTCTCTCAGGATTGGGAGAATGTCATATGGTCAGATGAAACCAAAATAGAACTTTTTGGTAAAGACTCAAATAGACTTGTTTGGAGGAGAAAGAATGCTGAGTTGCATCCAAAGAACACCATACCTACTGTGAAACATGGGGGTGGAAACGTCATGCTTTGGGGCTGTTTTTCTGCAAAGGGACCAGGACGACTGATCCGTGTAAAGGAAAGAATGAATGAGGCCATGTATTGTGAGATTTTGAGTGACAACCTCCTTCCATCAGCAAGGGCATTGAAGATGAAACGTGGCTGGGTCTTTCAGCATGACAATGATCCCAAACACACCGCCCGGGCAACAAAGGAGTGGCTTCGTAAGAAGCATTTCAAGGTCCTGGAGTGGCCTAGCCAGTCTCCAGATCTCAACCCCATAGAAAATCTTTGGAGGGAGTTGAAAGTCTGTGTTGCCCAGCGACAGCCCCAAAACATCACTGCTCTAGAGGAGATCTGCATGGAGGAATGGGCCAAAATACCAGAAACAGTGTGTGAAAACCTTGTGAAGACTTACAGAAAACGTTTGACCTCTGTCATTGCCAACAAAGGGTATAACAAGGTTTTCACACACTGTTTCTGGTATTTTGGCCCATTCCTCCATGCANCTGGAGCACCAACTAACGTTCATGACTTCAGACAACAACAAACCACAGTGAACAATAGTCAAACGTGAACGAAGAAGCTGATGAGACCTCTTTGGTTGGCCCCGTGGATGGGACATTTTGTTTTAAAAAACGGACGGATGGAAGCGTCGATAAGAGCACGGTTTTGCAAATTATGCAAAAAGGAATTTGCATATCACCGCAGCACATCAAGCCTCAAGTATCACCTCAATGCAAAACATATAGCAGCTAGCGTGGAAGCTAGCGTGGACGTTAGCCCGACTCGGAGTACAAGGACCCACACCCAATTCGCGTTGATCAAACAGTGGCCTATGCAACAGAGAGATTTTATTTTTCATCAGGATATTGGAAGAATAGGAGGGATTGAGGTCAATCACTGGCACTTTTTTATTTTATTTTAAATGGTACACTTTATGTTGAACTATTTATTATATTGTTGGTGCAACTGGCACTTTATGTTGAACTGTTTATTGTTTTGGCCAAGGTTATTGAGAGAGTTGGACTGAAATTGATTAGATTTTTTAAATCAACTGTTGGTAAATCAACAAAGTCTGTTATGGCCTCTGAAGCAACAGAGAGATGTTTTCTAATAGTCAGGGTT